CTTACTGGGGAACTGTGGTTCATTCGAGGGACTCTTCATCAAAAATTTTCGGGATCCCCCTCTCTTTATTTTTCTTTTCTCTCTCTCTCTCTCTCTCCTGTCTCATCATTTATTTCGGTTCAAATGGCTGTGAAATCCTCACATACCTTCTCATCTTTTATATCATTTGCTTTTGCTCATCCTGAATCATGACTCATGAAGAAAACTTCTATCTAGCCATTCCATGCACATTGAATTTCTTGTTTTCTCTTTTATTTATTTCTAATTCTCCCGCAGCATGATAACCCCTCTCTGCTCCTGCAAGATCCATTTTCGCTGCTGAGATGTGGCACAGTGGATTTGTCCTGCATATCAATTCTTTTCTTTCTTTTTTCTTTCGTGCACTCCTCGCATTACGATGCTCCTTCCCGCAGTGCGATCAGATTGTTTGCTGCTATACCATCGTCTGAATATCACAGAAGACTGCATCGATGGTGAATCTTTCCCGTCAGTCAGTCATCAGTATCCGGATGCAAGCTGAATGCGATGAAGAAATTTTCTCTTTTTCCTACTAACGTAGCAGTGCTCATATTCGAGTGGATATTGGCGGATTCAAAAGCGTGGCGTATAAGGCGATTCGGGCTTGATGAATGGATGATGTTCTGTCGTTGGACGAACATACAATGCAAATGATATCCTACTAATCCTACATCGCATGCCAATGACTGACTGATGCACTGCATAATCAGCAGCCCCGAACGAGACGGCTTCCTCGGAACCCCTTTGTGAATTTGTGAGTGCAACGGGCGATACGACATGGAGATCCAGCAAAGTTATAGATTAGATTATTCATCGCAGCTTTGCTCTAAGCCTTGTACAGACATTAGCGAAGATGCAGGCGAGCATATTTCCCTTTTGCCACTCTTGACACCTCTTCCGATCGATCGGCACTTATTCTCCACCACCTTTTTGGGTACCACGGAGGGCTTCAGGAGGGTTGAGTTGCAGATATGATCGCGGATGCTCTCGACATCTTCATCAGCAGGAATCTGTTACCGACTCCGTCAGCTCATCATGGAATGACGACTCCTGCCAAAGTTCGAAGCGAGAGTGGAAATATTAAGGGGTGAGAACGTACAATAACAGGTAAACCCCAGACGCGGCAGTGATACTGCATTAATGATGTTTTGTTCTCATCATACAGTTTGTACTGTCTTTTGAATTCCTCCACAATGTCCTTTATGGGGGTGTCGGAGCAGTTGGAATGACGGATGAAGTTTTCGAGGCACTTCTGCTTGGGACATTGAAGAATCACGAGTTTGCGAGGATAACGACACTAGGCAATCGTATAGTATAACATTTGTAAATAGTGGCCATCTTCGAATGGAATCGCTTTTTTCCCCTCCTAGCCCGCCCTGGGGACTTTAGAAATTACTCACAATATGATCCAACTCCTTGGCATACTTTTCATTGACAGGGAAATCAATAACCAAGAATTGTTTCTTCTTCCGCCCGCGAGTCACAGCATGCACTCTACTGACACAAGCGACGAGCTTGAGAAAGCAGTCCAACTCAATCTTGGTCCATTTTCCACCTGATTCAGATTCTGCAGCTTGAGTATGGGCTTGAAGTTCAAGAACGAGCCTGTCATTGAGACGAACGCCGAGTACCCCTATTTCTCCAAGGAGCCGCGCAATTAATTCTTTATCTGTGCCGGGAGGACCTGCATAACCTGATTTAGCGAGCCGGTTTGATAGTCATGGCATGAGGTAGAAACGCTGACATACCGACAATGGAGATGAGGGGAAGCGTGGTTGTCATTTGGGACTCCGAGATAGATAATCCCCCCTTCTTTCAGATTGTTGGAAATCTTTTTTTTTCTCACAAAAGAGGCGACTTGTGAGCATGAGTAGACTCAATCAGGAGCAGGCATAGCAGCTATTTATCAATGCTGAAGATGCTATGCTTATTATTCATGACTTCGATATAGTACCTCGCACCAATATTGAGAGCCCCATACTGCCCGATTCTTGCTGCACCACACTTCAAGCGCATAATAGGGCTGCTGCTGCTGCAAGCAATTAGTGGCGATGACAGCAGCATGTCCCATTCGATTATCGAGAACTCTCCCATGCGAATCATTCGGTGGTGATACATCTGGCTTTGCCCTTTCATGGTGCAGTGTGCTTCGAGACTTGATGGGTTGTAATGTATGCGATAGACCTGTCGTGGAACTCAATATGCAGCCGAAGCCGACGTGAAGAAAGGGGAAGGGCAATAAGATGGTTGAAGTCCGAATTCGAAAACTTTTTCGACCAATGAGGGCGCTGCCAAAGTCGGACAAACATTTCTCAAACACCAATATTTCTCTCTCTGAATTTTACTTTGAGCTTGTTGTATGCGCTCAAAATACCCATCCCGGAGTTCGCCTGTAATGCATGGAACAGTCAGTAGGATGCTTCATAGCGGTAGATAAAAGCACGTAGGCTCTTTTCCTCCTTTGGTCTTCTAGTTGATCATTGCGTCTTACCTCGATTAGCACACCTGCACCGCGATAGAAATCTTTGAGAGTCGTCTCCTTCATCTCAAAATCACGGTACTGTTTTTCAAATGCCTGTTCGTTTAAGGCCTGATTTTCCACCAGATCTCGCCCAACATAGCGAGCTTTTGCACGTGCCTTCGGGCATTTCAAACAGATGACAATATCTGGTTTTGGCAATCGATTGGGCTGTAGTGAAATCAGATGGGTGCGGTTAGATTCAGTCATGCTGAGAAATAGAAAAAAGTCGCCATAAACGCCGACTGCAGGCGCCCCACAACAATTGCCGATGCGTAGTAACATTTGACGGCCCTCTCTGAATAGAGGTGGGAGAGAAAGGGAAAATACAGCGATTACCTCACTTTCAAACCCTAAAGCTTGCGGTAATTCTCTAGGGAAACCTTCAATCACAAACCGAGTTGTTCCCTGAGCGACCTCCTTGGTGATCTTGTCCTTAACGAGCGATCCCAATCTCTCATTGAGCAGCAATTCTCGCCTGTGCTGCAGGACCTGAGCCGCCCTGTCTGAGCTTCTCCGTGGATCTATGGGACATGATAATTCCTTGAGATAACTAGGCACTGAGAAGTGGAATAACCCATGCTCGTCGGCTAGTTTGGCGCAGAGAGTTCCTTTGCCTGATCCAGGAGGACCTATACGATTTAGTGCCTCGTATTAGCTTAAGGAAAGAGCAAGAACTTGTTTTCCTTGGACCAATGCCCCTGTAGCCATCTATTCTTCCTGCACACACTCACCAATCACACAAATGATGAATACCATCGTTGCTTCCCTTTTGTTGCTCCGTTTCTGTATTTTCCCAGCGCAAGTTCCGTGGCCCAATCCGCAGGATTCAGGGTATAAGAAGAGGAGAAATAGAATCAGAAACCCCGTGCCCTCCCTAGTCTGTTTATATGGACAGGATGCGAATATGATAAAAGCAGACAAATTAGGGAAGCTTTTCTCTTCCTCGTCTTCTTACAATTAGCTGCTATGCAATAGCGTCTTTGCGCCTTTCTTGTCCAGATGACCAGATGACGTTTGCGGGGAGGTGGTGGGTGACGCTCTAGCAACTATCCTGTGGAGAAAGGATTGGAGGGAAAGAAGTATACCAAGAGGATTATTACTCCGCATACATAAAGTAGGGTACCCACGAGGACTGCAGAGTAGCATGGTACGAAAGGAGAGGGAGATGAGAGAGAGGCAAAGGGTTCCCCGCTGAATATACCCTTTGGTCGTCATCAGTCTGCTAATATCAGCCCAAGTCCTTCTGCAAAGGGCAAACCAACGGTGGTTTGCAAAAAAAAGTAAAAAACATTTATTTAAAAAAAAAAAATAAAAAAAGTAAAAAGGAAAAATTGAACTTTTCCCCCGTTTTCCCGATCCTGACGGAATTCGGCAGCTACACGCTGCCACACACGACTCGCCGGTTCGCAGCGGTTCGCAAACGGTCCCACGCGCCAGTGCCCAGGGTAACGGTGCGAAGGCCCAAGATGAGCACTGTCCATCAAAAGATGCATCATATATGCCGCATAATGCGAAGACGTTATGCCGTGAGAAATGCTTTGATAGCTGTAAAGCTGAAGCCAGTTCTCCTTGGTAATGGTTGACCAGAAAGATATAGGTCTCAAGCGACATGCACTGTCAAGCGCATGGCTATGGCCATGACCATGTCTGTCACATACATGACGCAAAGGCACAGTCAACTCACGCGAAAGGTAAGGTGATTACCGTTGCAATGCTTCCTCTGGCAACGCAATTATTCCAGGCGAAACATGCAGACTTTACGGACGGAACTCCACATAGGGGAAGAAGGGAAATAGTAACCCTCAGCAGCCCATTCCATCTGCATTTCTGGAATGACTTGCGCGGTGGAGAAGATAACTCGGTTATAAGACGGTAAGCCCATAATCTGCTTTGATTTGATGAGCTCTGCTTTGCCTTTCCCTGTCCTGCCCTGCTTTCCTCGTTGCTTCGTTCCGCGCCCTTACCATGCGCTGCTGTGAGCGACGATGACGACGACAACGGACAGCAGCAACAACATGAACAGGGAACAGGGATCAGAAATGAGGGATCAGCGATCAGCACTGTATGCATGCCCCGCAATTTGTTCAGAATCATTTGCTCACGAGACATGATTGCGCCGTCCGACAAGAGAAACAACGCCGAAACAGAGAAAACAGAAACAAGTGTAAATCACAGGCCGGTGCCGCACTGTAAACACATTGACTAAATAGAGTCCAGCGTAACCTTAGTCACTGGTTAGATGCTGTGCACCGTATATATAAAAGTATAAAAGTGGTCTCTGAACTGCACAAGAAGAATTATAATGATATATAAAAACAGCGATATTCTAGAGAGAGAACAAAAAGAAGAGAAAAAAAAGAAATGGTTGTACCGCGAATCGAACGCGGGTTATGGGAAAACAGAAACTGGTCAACAACAACATTGTGTTGTCCCAACCAGTGAACCACAAAAAAATTTGTTCCTCCGAGTCGGGGAATCGAACCCCGGTCTCCCGCGCTTGTTGAACCGGAATCTTCGTACTCGGTGACAAGCGGAAATCATGACCACTAGACCAACTCGGATTTGCCTTGAACGGATTACTTTATATCTTTGGATATATGAGGAACGTGATAAAGATGAGGTTGGGCGCTCAAATCATCACGGTGGCTTCATAGACGATGATAGTCAACAACACCGGGATTGGAGCAGGTCATCGTGAAGTAACACATGATTGTACTAAGAACTGATGTTTGGACGATAGCACACAGATGTAGACGTAGAATATAATGATTTTCATCCAACCATGCTCTGATTACGACCAAAAAATTGCCGCGATCCAGTTTCAGGGGTATCAACCAAGTTGAACCACTAATAGCATCCATGCCAATCATGTCCTCACAGACCAAACTTGCACAAGCAGCAGCCATCGCTTCGGGGAAGAAGCCTCTACCTAGAGGAATCCGCCACTCTTTGATTGAAGTTGAGCGGAAATTTCAGTACGATCCTACCTCGGTCAAACGGTTTCGCATGAATGATGGCGAGCCTGCATTTCGCCAATTAACCTACCGAGGCACAGAATTGCTGCGAGATGTCTATTACGATTTTAAAAATGAGTTGTTGACCAAGTCCGGACTGTGGGTTCGTCAGCGCAATGGAGAGTGGGAGGCGAAGAAGAAGCAATGGGGTGACTTTAATAATTCGCAGTTCGAAGAAGTGACAGGACGGCATAGGGTGCTTGATTTATTGCTTCGATTGGAACATGAGCGGCTTGTGAAAATGGAGGCTGAAAAAGCTCAGCAGGACGATGACTCTTTTGCACAACAAGGGTCATTATCAGAATTACCCAGAATTGATCCGGCACATCCGATATTCGGTCTCTCGCTGTTCGCTGATCTCCAAACTTCAAGGGAGAGTTGGGTGGTGAATGATACGTTTAATGTCGTGTTTGACACGACAAACTTTGGACACGGGGTAGGAGAGGTTGAGATGCAGGAGACTGTGGCTATCCCGCTTGACACGACTTATGATGGTCAAGTGGTAGAAAGTGATTATTCTCACGAGTATCTGACCCAGGCGAAAAGACAGGCTGGGGCCGCAATGGACCAGAAGATTGAAGCATTCATGAAGGAGCATGCATGGGCGTTTCCACAAGGCAAGCCCATAGGCAAATTGACTGCGTATTGTGCTTGGAAGGAGAAACAGAGATTGTGCTAGACATGCACTGAAAAGCTTGCTTAAGATTAGGGAGTGATCAATAATGCCGAGCAAGATGCGAATGGGAAAGGAGGATAGAACATGTGAGAAGGGAGGAAGAAAGTCAATAGAATCAATAACCTGCTCTACCAGTCCAATTCGCGAGTGCTTCCTCTGACTCCATGCGCCGGCTTTCTCGCCCAATCATATATACCACCTCTTTTCAAAAACGCATCATGGTCCCATTCAACCTGCTCCAACGCCTTATGAACGCCAACATCTAGGATACTCTGCGAGGGTTCCCCCGACTGTCTATTCAGGAACCGCATATACTCATCCAAAATCAGATAGGAAGTAATCATCAAATCATTTGGTTCAGGGACAAGACACTTTTGCGCCTTATGCCGCTCACAGAACTTGTCAAACTCCTCTCTTGTAATGCACCAATCACGCGCATCTTTCAAAGTATTTTCGGAATCATTCTCCCCACGCACAGTAAGGACCTGGAAACACTTCCAGCGAAACGGCGTGAGGAGGTTGATGTGAACATTCATATCTTCTTGATGGTTAAGGCTGCACACGACGGTATTAATTTTGAATTTTACTCCGAACTCACAACACCAGCCTGCGATGCGGTATAGCTGATCAACTTGATGACCCGAACCACGACCGATGGCGATGTTCGTGCTTTCGTTGAAGGAGTCGCACGAGATGGCGAGTATGTCGAGCCACCTCGCATATTTCAGGAAGAAGGCTTTCTTGATAAGACTCCCGTTCGAGACGACTGAAACGGATTCGAAAGCGAGATCTCGTTTGCAGTAGACGATCATTGAGCCTAGGAACTTTTCGTTCAGACAAGGTTCGCCACCGGCGAAATTGATTTTTTTGGTTCCTGCTTCTCTGAGCAGACGGAGACCACGTCTAGCATCGTCCTCGGACAGAGTGAAGGATGATTTCGCGGTGAAGAAACAAAATCCGCAGTCTTTGTTGCATTCTCTGGTGAAGTGGTAGTTGACGCTCAGGGGTACGGTACGCTGGTGCTTGAAGATGAGGGTTAAGGCGACTATAAGATGGGTTGTGACGAATACGATGACAACAGCAAGAGGAGAGGAGAGGGCATCGAGGATCACAGGGTGGAGGGAGATTATACGAGAAGGCAAGATCAAGTAAAAAAGCGATGAGAGGACTTTCTGGAGAACCATGATGGTAGAAAAGGATAGAAAAAATAGGGGGGGGAAGAGGAAGTAAGCCACAACCAATTACTTTGTCGATCTTTCCTTTCAAGAGACCCTTTCTTTCACACGCACACCAGCATCTTCACGATTGAAAAAGCGCATGAGGGTAGATTCCATGTGCATTTTAAACATTGTCACGGACAGTCCAAAGAATGATTTGTGTCAAGACTGTCATCTCATCAGACCACATCCGGAGGGGAGGGGAGGAGGGAGAGGTTGATGATTAAAGTCAGCCTGTTTCCCAAGGGGATGAGTTCCCCGAGGCTGATTGATACCTTGCCAGGAGAGGAGCTGTACTACAGTAGCACAGCATTGCCACGCTGCTCAGAAGACGAGAAGATCAGACCACGGTGTTCCATTCCGTGGTTGATTGAATCTGTGAGGTGGTGGGAAGAGAAACGAATATGTTTTTTTTTCTTTTTTTTTTTTTTTCTTTCTCTTGACCTTTCCTCCTTCTCCTTATCCCTACGATTTGATGGTATAGTCAATGGTCGGTACTCAAATCGTTCCGGCGACAGAGAGACTGAACAGACTGAGGCATCACAATGATATCTGATACTCGGAATCTTTAGGCTTCAGCTTAACGAGAGGGCCCATCGGTATACGACCTTCAACGCCCAATTGGTTAGCAGGCATGTAATTATAGACATGTCTTCCGGTTAAGACGCAGCTTCATCATCCGCTGTACCATCTCAACAACGAGTATCAATGCATGCATCGCTCGCTAACAACGAAATGGTGCGACTACCACGTATCATGAGTGTGTGAGTGTGGTACAGTATACAAGACCAGACAGAACAGACGCGCGAACAACCAGCCTTTCCAAACATCACATTTAGAAAGGAGTCCCACGGGGTGTCACGTCAACCCACCTGATCGAGGGCTGCGAAGTTCAGGGATTGCTTCGTCGTGTATGGTCCGATAAAGTCAATATGATTTTGTTTGATGAGAGTGAAAGGGGGGTTGGGATTTGGGATTTGGGATCTGTGATCTGCGTAGGTGTCACTTGGGCTTTGATGGATGTTTCCAGATGAAGGGCAGCAAGGCAATCAGGCAGCAAGGCAATCAGGCAGTCACTCCCTTCCAAAAGTTGCTTTGCTTTCCTCCTCCTCCTCCCCTGATTTGAGTCACGGCAACAACGCTTACTCTGACTGAATTCATCCACCGTCTCACAATATATGAAAGCCATTACAGGGAGGGATTTCAATTAGATTAGCCTTGCTGCTCTTCTTCTTCTTCTTCTTCTTCATCAAGTAGCGATTTTACAAAACAAAAATCTCATATAATCAAAAAAGACAACAACAAAGCCACAGGCAATAGGGGGTTTGGGACGTACATGGTCATGATGCCAGCAATTGAACTTCGTGAAGATCCAGAGAAGATAGTATTCATTATAGGTTCGCAAGAAATCGGAATGAAATGAAATGGATTGACTTGAATTGACAAGAGAACCGCCCCTTTTCTTTTCTTTTCTTTTTATTTTTTTTTTTTTTTTAACTTTTCTTCCCTGTTCCTTCAATCACTGACAAATTCCTCCCCCCTCCCCTTTCCCCTTCTCGTTGATTACCAAACAGGACCTCCTGGCGTCGGCAAAGGCACCATCGGCCGTCGCTACGCCTCGGAATCCGACTACTACCATTTCTCCATTGGAGACTACTTGCGCGAACTAGCAGACCACTGTGACTTCCTCTCCTTCAACCCAGCGGAAGACACGGAGCGCAATGTGATTGGCTTGAACATTGATGACAGGCATCGGATCCGGGATAGTCGATTGCTTGATTCGGAGGTGTTGATGCCTCTGATCAAGAGACACATGAACAAGATTATGAGGAAGGCGGATGAGAATGAAGAAGGCGGAGGAGGAGGAGGAGGAGGAGGAGGAGGAGGAGTTGGGGAATGACAATAATGAGGGGACAAAGAAGTTTTTGGTTGATGGGTTTCCTAGGAGTGTTGGTCAGGCGGAGGCGTTTAACGAATTTGTAAGTGGTATTCTTCTTCCTCTACTTCTTTCCCTTGCCTATTTTTTTTTTTTTTTTCTTTTTTTAAAAAAAAAAAATTTTTTTACAGGCCGCACCAGACATCATATTCAACTTGACATGCCCCAAACCGATAGCGTGCAGCCGCTTCCTCGATCGTAATCTCGAGAATCGCCCCGCGGAGTCACTGGAGAAATTCAATGAGCGATACGAGGAGTATGCGCGGACTCATGAGAGTATTAAAGGGTGGTATTTTGCCAAGGGGATTTCAATTATTGATG